GCGAGCCTGTCGACGTAAGGCCCTCGTGGCAAGCAAAAAAGTACCTAAAAAACAGGTCCATATTCTGTAGGTTAAAAAAGCATGAGCAACTCGTCATTCTTACCTCCCTCAGTGATGAACGAAACGCCAAGGAACAGGAAAACCTAAAAGAGACGATGAAATGAACCGCGTAACAGCACGAACGCTTTCCGACTCCAAGTGAGAACTCGAGGTCTTGCGGGAACAGCAGACCCTGGATGCCATGATAGACAGACAGGCCGGTGCCGAAACAGAAGATGCCGACACCGCTGATCAGCGAGGCGACGTATCTGGCGTTCGCGTAGCCGTACCTGACGTCAAAATATTCACATGTGCACCACTGTCAAAGGTCGTCGTTACGTACGGGTGCATGGTGTCCGGTTGACGCAGGCTCTGCCGAATGCCGAATGCGAGTATCACCTTAAATCAGCACTGTAAATCGCTTATATGAGACTGAATGGGAAGTTTTGGTGCAGATGACCGGTTAGTGCTAGCGTTCAGTCCTACAGTCGCCTCAATAAACCGGTGTAACTGGACAGTGGCCAACTGCATCAACTGCGTATTTCAGTCCATCATGCCATATATACCAATGAAAAGCTCTCTGTGAGTGAAGTATGATGCCGCTGTCAAACCCTGAATTTCTCAATACAATTTCACTGTTACGACCGTGCGATTGTGACGACAGTATGTCAGCGCACAGTCTCCATTAGGAATGTCACAGACGGATGAATACTAGCATAAATGACTTAACTTCGCCCTTTATATTAGCTAGCAGTGGAATTTCTGTGTGAGTATAATGCGGTGTCGTTGTCAAACTATGAATGCCGATGATTTGCATTTCATTTCATGATTCCATCGCGCTGACTCCGCGAGGTCGCTAAGGCAGCGTACTGCCATTTGCACGTGATCATCTGCATCAATTTCTTGATTTAACCCCTCATGTTACACATCACTCGGAAATTGCCTGTGAGCATAATATGAAACTCGCCATAAGTAGAAATTTCAATTCGTCTATCTTTTGTTTAAAAATTGAATTTTTAAGTTTTGTTTCATGATTACACGATGGTGATGACACGACATCCCTATAGTTCAGCGCAGTCACCTACTTGCGAGTTGAATCAGTGTAACTGACTGAGAGATGCAGGTATGAAATTCTTGATTTCACCATGAATCATCCATCAGCAAATTGTCGAAGTTGTGAATTTAGAAAATTCCATACTATTTTATGATTTCCCAAAAGTGGGTGCGTCAGGTCAATAAGACGGTAGACAGTCATTTAGCTGAGAACTGGAATCAATCTCTGCACTTTGCAGACCCCCATTTTAATGCCCTTTTCGCTTTCTTTAATCGCATTGCCTGTCGATGGGTAGTACTCTACGAATGTACTGCAAAACTTCCGTCAAATATCTAAATTCCTAGGAATTTTGATTTAATTATCCAATTCTGCGCAAACTCGTGAAACCATAGCGTTGCGATTTTATCAATACTAACATTAAGCGCGTGTTACACTCTCCATGGACACGGACCGCCGAGTCTGACAGTATACTGAGGATGAAACCGGCACTCTCGATATGTGAACTGGAAAAAGTTTCGTCAGACAGCTTTTGTTACATGTTCGACAGGAAGAGTAGAGACGGAACAAGGAAGTGTTGGCGTTGTGAAGAATTTTCTTTAACGTGGTTCGTCGTATGAGTAAATTTCCTGTACATTTCTGGTCCTTGCTCAACTCGCTGGTAACATCAACGGCTCCACACATTTTCTGCATAAGAACGTCACCTTTTCTTTAAACTTTTCCTTCTTCCATTCTACGTCCCAATCATATCAAATTTAACCGTTTATACTGCAATGAAACTACTATCAGCAGCATGATATCTGCAACAAATAGACAACTTTTTTACACACAAGCAACTGTCTCAATACATATACAAAAGTGAGAAAAATTCTGACTTCATCCCTAACAAATCGCATGATTAACAATAAACTTCTCCTCTACGCGGTTTTTCATTACCCTGAGAAAGAAACGTAAGGTGGAAAGACGATACAGTTATGGCTAAAATTGTATAAACTTATTCATAATAATGGGATTCAGAGAATAGTCAAAAGAAATGGTGGTTACACTTTTTCTAGGATGAAATGGAAAAATTTGAAACAGCCGTTGATTACGGAGGTCATCAGGTATTTGAGAAATCTCTTCATTACCTTTATGACAGATACGCAGGATTTTCATCAAAGCACTACATCTCGGAACAGACTGCAAGATTAGCATTCAATGAAACTGACAGGACGCATTCGTATACAAGAACCAACAATGTATCGACTATCAGAAAACAGCATTCTTTTTATTCTAATTAAATAATACAATGCCTCAATGGATGGAAGCTATTCTACTCAGGCGTCGATATCACGACTCGCGCTCAGGCTGGTGTTGGCATTCTGGTAGAACCCAACCTTGCCGACAGAATAATCGATTGGAAGCCTATCAGCGGAAGGG